TCCTACATTCATGGTTCTCACATTCCATGTTCCAATCACTAGTGTCTGTTTACAACTGTTCCTCTTCCTTTGTATTTCCATACTTGAAAGTTCTACCTAGATTGCCCTTTCTGTTAGTCTACGTGTGTTCTATTGTACATAGGATTTTCAGAGGCCTGCTATTTCAGAAGCGGGTGGCCAGTCCTTCTTCCTAGTCTGTCTTAATCTGAATGTTTAGATTTAGAGGAGTATCTGACAGACAAGCAATATGTGGAGCAGTGAAAGATAAATTCCTCATTTTGGAGTGTCCCTGCCCTTAGCCCCGTGCCTTGACCCACTTATTTCCCAGCTCCACCCTCCACCATTCACTTCTACCAAATCCCTTCAGAATTTAACTTCCATTGTCCAACCCATGATCTGACAGCTTGTATCTGAAGCTTTCTTGGCTTCTGTGATTCCAAACATGTCACCTGCTGAAAATTTTTAGAGGGGAAACAAAAATATGTACCAATGGCTGTGAACAGAAGGAAGGGACTGAATACAGCAGATCAAAGCAGTTGTTCCATTCTATATACCAGTTTTCTGACTTTTAAGGAGGATGCCAATCTTCAACTTGGACTGAGAATTACGTCTATTTGGTGAAATAGAAGCTCTTACGGGCCTGACCAGCACAATCTGCTTCTCACCTTTGACCAGAAGAAACAGGCTAACAGGAATCTCTCTTACCAGAAACTACCTTTGATCAGGTTGAAACAGGCTAGCAGGAAATGATCTGCAATTGGTGGGAGGCAGAATGAGTTTGTAGAAGAGGTCTTAAGAATAGCTGTCAAAAAAAAAAGAATGACTGTGAAACAGCATAGTTTGAAGCACTTTCCTTCCTTATATAGGAGAAACTTGACCAAGGAATTGTAACATTTACACTTCCCTAAGAACAAACAATTAGGTATGTCTTGGTGAAAATACTGCCAGAGAGCTCCTCGGGGCCATCGATGACAAAGTTTCATTTCACATACTTTGATCATATTGTTAGGAGACGCTATTCCTTAGAGAAGGTCATCATGCTTGGAAAGGTGAAATTTGGCAAAGAGGAGTAAGATGTTCAACCAGATGTATTGACAGAGTAACTGTAGGTGGGCTTGAATATGTTGGAAATTATGAGGATGACACAGAATAAGACACGGTTGATCTATTGTTGATAGGGTCACTGCAAGTTGTATTCAACTTGGCAACACCTAACAACATCAGCAGTAGCAGCTCTTCCATTCCTCTTTGCTGTATTCTAAGCTAATCAGTGCTCCCTCTGTTTCATTCATAGCCCATGTTTAGAGCTAAACATAGTGTTAATTTACACCTCCTAGTTAGAGTGTGTTTTTGTCACAAAATTCTGCTTGACAGTCTGCCCCTTTGGAGGCAATACTATATTTTTGTCATTGTTAAATATTCACTAGGGGTTCTTTCTCTCTTTTTTCTCTTTTTTACTTTATTTGGGTTTTTTTAAACATGATTCTAATTTTTTTACGTGTATGAAATTATTTTGATAGGTTTTAGTATAATCATTAATTTACATTGTGTTTTATTATGTATGTTTTGCTTTATACAGTCATTCATATACATTGTCTTATACAATTACTTTTTTAACATTTTTAAAAATTTTACATTGGTTTATTTTTTAACTTTGTAGTTTGAATGTTCATTTTCCATCTTATTTCTTATTAAATGTGTTTAAGGCTGAATGTTTTCCATCTTTACTCATTTATGGATCTATGCAGTAGTCCATTTTCTTTTTTAAAGTTTTGTTTATGTGACAGTTTTCAAACCCCACCTATGGGGCTGTGCTATGCACAGAAAATGTAAATATATACTAATAAGACATAGACACTTCTTGAGAAGTATAGATATGTTAGCTACATAGATATGTCTATTCTTTTATAACAAACTGCTCGAAATTCAGTGGTTTAAAGTACAAAAGTTTGTTATTTCTCCTGATTTTGTGGACAGATGCAATTTAATTGGGTGCTTCTTCTGTTTGACATGAGTTTGGAAACCAGACCATTGAATATTGAACCAAAAATGTCAGTTTGAGCCATTTCCCCCTAAAATTGTTAGTTTGAAAAAATTCTTTTTTGTTTCTTTCCTTGAAGGATTCTAGAGCCTATTTTCACCTGCTGAATCAGATTGCCCCCAAAGGGGACCGAGATGACGGACCTGCCATTGCCATTGACCTTTCAGGATTTAATGTGAGTACAGTGTTTAGAATGTAGTCCTCTAATTGTCACACTGAAACATTTCTGAAAGTAACATGTGACCAAGAACTAATAGTAATGAAGAAAGAAGTTCAAGTTGCACCAAAGAAATTGACAGGAAGTCTCTTGACATATTTCAGCAAACAGATACAACCCTGGACCTACTTACCAGTCTCTGGCAGGAAATATGGAAGATAGCTACCTGACCAAATGACTGGAAAAGATCCATAGGTGTTCCCATTCTCAAAAAAAAAAAAGGTTATCTGATAGAATGTTGAAATTATCAAACAATATCACTAATATCACATGAAAGTAAAATCTTGCTGAAGGTTACTCAAAAAGTATATTGATAGGGAACTGCCAAAATGTCAAGCTGAATTCAGAAAAGACCATAGCATAATGGCATATTATTGTTGGTGTCAAATGGATTTTAGCTGAAAGCGGAGAATCCCAGAAAGATGTATATTTGTGTTTTGTTGACTGTGCAAAGGCATTTGACTATGTGGATCATTACAAATTAAGGCTAACACTGGGAAGAATGGAAATCCCAGAACACTTAAGTTTGATCATTTGAAACCTATACAAAGGCCAAGAAGCTGTTGTGCAAACAGAACAATGGAACACTGCATGATTATAAATCAAGAAAAGTATATCAGTTATTATATGCTTTTTCACTACCTATTGAATCTGTATGCTGAGCAACTCATTCAAGAAGCTGAGCTCCATAAAAAGAATGTGGCATCAGGATTGAAGGAAGATTCATTAACAGCCTGCGTTATGCAGATGTTCCAACCTTACTTGCAGAAAGTGAAGATGACTTGAAAGACTTGCTGCAGAAGATCAAAGACCATAGTCTTCCATATGGATTATATCTCAACATCAAGAAAACAAAAATCTTCCCCACTGGTCCAGTAGGCAGTATCATGATAGATGGAGAAAACATTGACATATTCAACAATTTTATCTTACTTGGATCCACAGTCACCACCACTGATCAGTCAAGGAATCAAAAGATGTATTACACCCTTCCGAGATTGTCAAGCAGATCACCTCCATCAGCATTAAGCCTGGAGTTGAGAGTGAAGTCATATTGCAGATGCCTAACTCAATTATTTTAATATATTGACTATCTGTTGGTTAAAAAAAATTATGTGTTGCCCTGGGAAATTTTTATGTTAATGATCTCTCCTATGTGCTAAACAGGAGTGGTGTCAGTTTAAAGACTACGGTGCACCCAATCCAAGCCATAATCTTTTCAGTTACTTTCTATGCATGTGAAAGTTGGACAGTGAATAAGGATGACAAAAAATAATTGTTGCCTTTAAACTGTGATGTTGGCGAAGTGTACCCGATAAGAACAAACACGTCTGTTTTGGAGGAAGTACAAGCAGGTTGCTCCTGAAAGGCATGGATGGTGAAACTTCATCTCACATACTTTGGGCATGTGGTCAGGAAGGACCAGTCCTTGGAAGAAGAGAGCATACTGGGAAAAATGGAGGTACAGAGAAAGAGAGGAAGACCCCAACAAGATGGATTGACTTAGTGATTGTAACAGTTGTTGTTATGTGCTGTTGAGTCACCTGCGACTCATTGTGACCCTGTGTACAGCAGCTCTGAAGCCTGTCCTGTCCTGAGCCAGTCTCACTGATTCCAACACACCAAACCCTATTGCCCCAGTTACTATTTCAATCCATCTCATCTAGAGTCTTCCACTCCTATGCTGTCCCTCCATGCTGCTGAGCATGATATCCCCCTCTAAGGACTGATTCCTCCTGGCCACGTGACCAAAGTATGTGAGACAGAGCTTCCAAATCCTAGCCTCCAAGAAGAAATTTGGTTTCATCCTCTCCAAGATAGAACTATTTGTTTCTGGGCAGTCCATGGTATGTTCAAGACTCTTCTCCAGCACCACAACTCAAAGGCATCAATTTTTCTCCTGTCATTCTTAGTCATTGTCTAGCTCTCTGATGCTTAGCAAGTAACTACTAAGACCATGTCCTGGATGGTGCGCACCTTAGTTTCTAGACTGGCGTCGTTGCTTTTCAGTACTCTGGATGTAACAGTATGTTCAGGTATATCAGAAGTGGTGAATGGCACAGGGTTCAGATCTGTTGTTCAAAGGGTCACTGTGAGTCGTAGTTAATTGGATGGCCCCCACAACAAACAGTAGCCTCTACCGGCAGCATTCCTACTGGAATCCTCATCCTTTCATAAACTCTTGGCTTTTTGCATTTCAAAAAGTTTTCTCATACCCTAGGCTCCCAAGTTCCTTGCTGAACCACTGCTTGACTTCCTATTTGGAGAAAGAAGTGTAGAATTCTGGCTTTGAGGTTGTCTGGAATGCGTCCTACAACCCCATTTTCCCTGGTACAATTATACTGACAGTCACCAAAGCGATTGTCAGTGCTCACAAGAAAAAAACAACATTAGGATCTCACTGTATTGCTGAGAAATTGATTATTTGTTCTAACAAAATAAGGTGTGTGGGTGATACAGACAGTTTGCATTTGACCGCTAACAGAAAGATTGATTGGCAGCTTGAATGTTTCTAGCAAACGATGGAAAACATTTCATAAACACTGCAGCCAAGAAAAGCCGGCAGAAATCATTTCATCTCAATGACTTCTAAAGAAGTAAATACTTCACACATGGAGTTGCCATGAGTTCATACTGACTCAATGACAGTAGACCTTTAGTTGTTTTGTAATTTCTATTAAATTACTTTAGAAATAACATAAACCAAGAGTCATTCCTAGTACTTATGAAGGGAACTCTGGTTGTGAGTTACACTGTTACCTCAGGGGTACAGGTCCCTAGTGTTTCATATCTACCAGTATCAGCAGTCAGTAACTCTAGAGACGATTTGCATTGGGAAGGTCAGCTGTCAGGGACGTTGCCAGAGTACTGAAGAACAGTGATGTCAGTCTGAAGACTAAGGTGCAGCTGATCCAGGCCATAGTCTTTACAATTGCTTGCTATGCATCAGAGAGCTGGATAATGAGTGGGGATGATAGAAAGAGATTTGATGCCTTTGAGCTGTGGTGTTGGAGAAGAGTTTTGAGTATACCATGGACTGGCAGGAGAACAAAAACATTCATCCTAGAGAGAGTGAAGCCAGGCTGCTCCCTGAAGGCAAGAATTCTGAGACTTCCTCTGACATTTGGGCATGTTACAAGGAGGGACCAGCCCTTGGAGAGGGACATCATGCTTGGAAGGCTGGAGGGAGGGAGAAAGAAAGGGAGACCATCAGTGAGATGGATTGATTCAGTGATTAGGCTAATGTGCGTAGGTGTGTCAGAGACAATAAAGTTGGCCCAGGATAGAGCTGGTTTCAGGGCTGTTGAACCTAGATAGCCCACTATGAGTCATAGCGACTCAACGACACATAACAACAACAACAGTGCCTCCTTGGGAAAAAGATGAGCAGTCTCCTCCTGTTGTAATTTATAGTCTCAGAAATCGCAGTGGAGGATTGTTGTCAATCAGATCTTACCCAGTGGCAGTGAGGATCCGAGAGTATTTACGATGTAAGAGCACAAGAAAAGACCCTTGATGAGATGGATTGCTTCAGTGGCTGGGGGAATGGAAGTAGGTGACTCAGGATAGAACAGGGTTCAGAGCTGTTGTACATAAGGTCACTATGAGTCACGAGCAACTCAACGGCACATAACAACAATAACATGAATTGCAGACATTTTCTGGGAAACTTATGCTTTTAGCATAAAATGGAAGTATTAAGGCTAGTACTATCTGAACAAATAAAAATCTGTTTAGACTATAATTTGTATGAAAATCTATTAAGTACTTGAAGTACAAAATGTCTATTTGACTTTGCAAGCAACTTGAATGAATCAGCACTAAATATTTGACATTATTTTAATGAATTTTCTCAGAATCACAGTATTGCAGACTTGTAAAATTTTCTCAGACAGAATATTACGAACATTAAAAGAAAGTTATTTTGGACAATTTTAGGCATCTAGATTAAAAATTGATTAGATTTAGTAGACTGTAGTTCCACCAGTATTGTCCTCCAGGCTCAACAGTTTGTGGTCAGTCTTATTACATTTGTTACCTATATATTGTTTCCAGTATTATTTTGTAGCAAATTCTGCACATGTTATAATTTCATCTGTAAATATTTCATTATGAATTGTGTGTTCCGAAGTAGACCAAAGATCTTCAGCATGAATTATATCTCAACATCAGGTAAACAAAAATCCTGAATGAATGATAATTCAACCTTCCTGTAAACTTTCATTAAAATCACAATTAAAAAAAAGAAAACAAAAATCCTCAACACAGAATCAATAGGCCATATTATGATGGATAGTGAAAATATTGAAATTGTCAGTGGTTAATTTTCCTTGGGTCCATAATCAACAGTCAAGAAATGAAAAGATACGTGGCACTGGAAAAATATCCAGTCAAGGACCTCTTTAAAGTACTAAAGAGCAAGAGGACAGTTTAAAGAGAGTAAAGTCCACCTGACCCAAGCTATGGTATTTATGTTCGGTTGCTTTGAATGCATGTGAAAGTTGAGCAGTGAATAAGGAAGACCAACGAAAAACTGATGCTTTTGAATTGTGGTGTTGCTGAAGAGTATTGAATGTCACAAGACCTGCCAAAAGAAGAAATAAATCTGTCTTAGAAGAAGTGCAACCAGGATGCTCCTTGGAGACATGAGTGGTCAGACATCATCTTACATGTGAGGAGGGGTCAGTCCTTAGAAAAAAGCATCAGAGTTGACCCTGAACCACCTAGATTGACACAGTGATGGAAGTAATGGGCTTGAGCGGAGTGGAGACAGTGAGAGTAGCGTAGGTGAGGGCACGGTTTCAGCGTAGGTGAGGGCACGGTTTCAGTGTGTTCTTCGCAGGGTCGCTAGAATCGATTTGATGGCACCTCTCTAACAACAGAACAGAAAGGAGTACAGGTAGCACAATGCTCAAAGCTTTCAGCTACTCATCATTAGGTTGATGGTTCATACCTACCAGTTGTTCTGTTAGAAGAAGAATAAAGCTATCTCCTTCCACTAAGATTTATAGCCATGGAGACTCCATAGAGGGCTCTCTGTCCTACAGGGCTGCTGTAAGGCACAGTTAACTCAGTGGTACTAGGTTTGGCTTTTAGTATCACAGATGAAAACTTTAGAAATAGAAGAATACTCCTTTATCATGGTTTTAAAAAATTAGTGGTAATTTGTATTCTGTTGCGTTTATATCATATTTATGTTATAATATGTTGATATTGACATATCCAATTGTGTAAACACAAAAGAAAGTCAACTCTTAAAAGCAGTTTGAATTAAGATTTAAATAAGGCCTGCATATGATGACTGGTTGACATCTACCTCGGGAATTATTCATTGTTGTTTAGTAGCATTGAACCTATCATTTTTCCTGATTATTTATTTTTAGTTTTTTTGCAATACTGTGACACTGATGTGTCAAATGTGTTAATGATTACCCATAGTGGACAGTGTTAGGTGACACTCCCCGATTAAAACACGCTTGGAAGCAGGAGTGGCATCCACTTCCATAATAGCTTGCCTCTGGAAACCCTATGAATCTGGAGAAAGGATGAAAGTCACACAAACAAGTGTTGAGTACTTTCATTCATAGGGTCGCTATGAGTCGCCTACGATTTGACAGCACTTAACAACAACAACAGCAATACTTGTGCACAGAATTTAATAAATAATAATCCTTGATTAGGATGTATTCTCATCAGAAGTATGTGTGTACTCCCTTTTTTCAAAATTTTTGTTTGTGGTATTTTTTTTTTTTTGCATTGTTGCTGTGATAAGTCCATATGAACCCACAATACAACATGAAAGCTAAAACCTTTATATTTCCACTTCTGTGTTTGGTTCTTTCCTATGTTTTCTTTCTTACCCCGTTGTAGTAACTACCATCTTGAACCTTGAGATCATGGTTCCTTTTTGTTCTTTTTTGTAGTTTTCTTTCATCCAAGTATATTCCTTGAATTACCTGTTTTACTTTTTAAGTTAACATCAAGCCTATCAGGTTGTACTTAAATTCCAAGTACTGATTAGCATCAAGAGTCATTCTGAATAGACCGCAGTTTATTCATCTTGTCTCTAGTTGACTGTTTCTCAGGTTTTACAATTTTTAAAAATTTTATTCTTTCAGATATTACTCCTTTTTTATGTATTCCAACTTGACTTTTTTGTTGTTGTTTTTAAGAAAATTGTCTAGGAAGTCTTACTCAGAATAGGATGAGTCAAACAACTGAATCTCTTACCCACACAGGGCACTGTATGGGTGAACTTTACCAAATAGGTAAATGTAATTACTATTGTCTGGACTGGTCAGCATTAACTAAGTAAAAATATGACAGTTTTGTTGAGATTTTCAGGAAAGAGAGGAAAACATGACTCAATAATCCTTATTGAGATACCAAAGAAGTGGAGACCTTGGTTTGAAATTCCTATATATTCTGACCTTATTTTGAGCTATTAATTGATAGATTTCTTAAGAATAAAATGCTTAAAAAGATGTATATCAGTAAGAAAAAAAGTCAAGAAAATGTTTGATTTTTACTATTTTTGTTTTATTTCATTCTTTAGGAGAAAAATGACCTAAAACGAGCTGGATTTATGCTCCAGGAAGCAGATAAATTGGGTTGCAGACAATTTGTTACTCCTGCAGATGTGGTTTCAGGCAATCCTAAACTTAATTTAGCTTTTGTAGCTAATCTGTTTAACACTTACCCATGCCTACACAAACCTGATAATAATGACATCGATATGAATTTATTGGAAGGTAGGTTCTTTGTAACTGAAGTTGGCTCACCATACTTATTTTCTGGGATACTGCCCTTCATTGTCAAGTAGGGAATTGTAGTGGGAGATGAAACTTTATTTGGCATATAAATGTGCATACATTAAAGCATTCATACTCCAGAGAGTGGAGGATACTTTTAGTTAAAAGTGATTTCTCGGGTAACTCTCCATCTGTCAGTTCCCTTTAAGTTCTTCATGAAAACTGTCATACATTTCAAATAGTAACAGTAACTCTACCACAGTACAATGAATTATCTATTGGAAAAAAGAATTGTGCATCTTTTCCGCTTTAAAAAGCTATAGTTTTACTTCATTATTGTTCTTTTTATGAATGTTTTTGGTATATACATGAAAAAAAAATATAGTGTTCATTACTTATCTGTGTGTGGACTGTCATTATCTGTCTCGTAATTTATAACACTTTCCTGTTTTGCTTTGTGAAATGCAGATTTGACCCCTCCTAATGTAGGTACTGTATTTAGTACTTTTCTATACTCTATAAATATATTCATTCTGATTTTGCTCTTTTTTTATTAGTACCTTTTATTATTTCCACCTGGGTTGATAATTATTTAATTCCTTTTGCATTGTTCATGCTGTGTTATTTCTGTCTTAATATGCCTGTATAATGAATAAGGAAATATAAGTAACCTAAATTAGGATAGCAGAGAAGGCTTTGGTTGCATAAATCCACAACCTAACTTGTTTTCTCTACTGATGGGATATTATTACCATAAACATATTAGAAACCGATTTTTGACAATTGGATTTCAATTGGATGTAAATATTCCTTTCCTGTAAGTAAACATTTATCCCTCTTCTGTACATAAACAGATTTATCTTTTATGATGAATAATCTTTGAACAGGCCCATTTGGGTTCTATGAGGTAGATAATTTTGTATTCTTTAGCTATGTTATTTTTACTGAGTATCATTGAAGCTTACAGTGTGAATCATCATAATGACAGAAAACATTCTCAATACCTAGTTCTCTTTCTCTTAGCTTTTCCTTTATTATTCCTTCTCCTTTTCTCACACCATCACCCACATGTCTATCAACACCCACATTAATCGCAAAATAAAGGTAAAATAGTGACAGCAGTGGCGGCAGCTGGGGTAGGGGGCTGATCCTAAGGTTTCTTTCTCACTGTCTTGGTTTGGAGAAGGTCATGCTCAAGGTGGCATTCTTAGTGAGGAGAGTTTGAAATTGCAGTGTTAATTTCCTCATGCTATCACTCACCTCTTCTTCTAACCCAGTGAGACAGAACAAGAAATCAGTTTTGCGATCTCTTTTTCACTCTGACTGCCACAAACAGGATTTTGTTACCCTTGTCATCTCATCATTTTTTTAATTAATGAACAAGGTTCAGAATGAAAGATTATATTCCTTGAGAATATTACTAAATCCATGTTCCCAATATTCTGAATAATGTTGTAAAAATTATGTTTCCTATGTCAAATAGAGAGAGAAAAGAACAAAAATGTGGATTGCTCAGTAAAGGAAAATTTGAGATGATGGATTATAACAAAGAAAAAAGAATAAGCAAAGAGGAAGATTGCAAAAGTTTTTATCAGTCTGGAAAATGTCAAAATTCTTCTTAGTCTTGCAGTAGAAGGCATTGTTTAGAGTGGCATATTAAAAATTATCTGCTTTTTATAGTTACTGAATTCTTGCTAGATATCTTTTCCAACTTGCTCGCTTTCCTATGTGTCTTGTTTGAATTCTTTTGCTAGTGTTCAGCATGCTTTGGAATTTTTTTAGTGTGAATAGTATTGCTCAATATTTCCATTAGTATTTACTATTATTATTTAAAAATACTATGGGAAATATTTATCAATCATCTTTATTTAGAACATATGTATGTCCTGATACAACTCCCCAAAATATGTTTCCTCTCCAAATTTGTTTTTATATGTCCTTCCAAAATTTGAAGCTTGACTGTAGCATGTTCCAAATTCATATATTTGTGTGCCCTCATTGACAAAGAATTATAATTCTAGATAATTAAAGATATGGAAAAGCTTAGTTAAGATATGAAACTTTATATCCAATTGAACAGAATGTGTGGGCTACTTTAATAGAAGGACCATTTCACAATTCACTTGTGATGATAGAAAGCACATGGATTATAGAGTTAGGTAGACTTGGTTCAAATCATGCCTTCTACTAGTTAATATTTGAATGACGTCTATGAACCTTGGTTTCCCTATACTTAAAGCAGAACTAAAGATATTTACCTTGAAGAGTTTCAGACCAAGTTAAAAGTGACAGTGAATGAAGAAGTTTAGTGTACATGGTCAGTAATAATCAGTATACAAGGTTGAAAGCACTAATACCTCAGTTAGCACATAGAGTGAGGGTTCAAAACTGCACCCATATTGTGCTTTGTTCTCTCCTTTTCCCTCTCAGTAGCTTGCTTTTTAGTAGATTCATTATTTTCGCTGAAATGTGTCAATTGTAGATGTTAGGGCAATCATATAAATGGAAGGAATGCCTTATGGTTCTTCTTATCTTGTCTCTGAGCAATCAAGATTTTACACTTCACATAGCTTGAATTGTCTACAATCCAGACATCTTCCAATCTGGAATACATATGTTTTTGCAATTCTTTACCATGGCTCTTGCACCAACGCATATTGCTTCTGGCTTTGAGCATTTATTTACCAAGGCAACTTGAAATGATATTAGATAAATAAATGCTCATTTATAAAAGCTGTTTTACTTTCCAGGTACCTGAATTTAAAATTATAACTGTAGAATTGGTTGTGAAAATAGTAAGAACTTCTGAATGATTTCAGAACTCAAACCAAAATAGAAAATCAGTGTGATTATTTCAATATTATTCACTATAGCATTGGGTTTAAAATAATTTAAGTATTATTTTAATTACATATTTAACCATTATGACACTATCAATGTTTTTAATATTAAAATACATTGTGATTTGGACTCGTATGGCTGAAAATAGTGTAAAAATTCTCCAGTTACTAATAATGAAAATTTATATTTTTAAGAATATAACTATAATAGAGATGAATTAATTAAGTAACTAAAAGATAAATTGAAAGTTATGCATCAAGCATATTGATCACAGTTAATAGTGTGTTTATCTCTTTGGGCACAATTAGTATTTCTAATATACATTGTTTAATAACTCCTTCAAACAAGGCAAACACAAATTCTAGGAATATTTTGTTTAGCTTGATTCTTTTTTTAAAAAAGTTCTGATATACTTATTATGAAGTGGTAATATCAGTTACCTTTTATACAGTTGTTGTTGTTTTACCATAGGGTAGGAACCGACCCATAGTTGGCCCTCTGGTGGGTTTTCAGAGGCAGTTAATTGCAACAGAGGAGATTGCCTATCCCTCTCCCGAAGAGCAGCGGGTGGCCTTGAACCACGTGCCTTCAGGATTGCAGCACAGCTTCTTGCCACTAGGCCACCAGACTAAGGGAAACATAAAGCAGCATAAGAGACAAATAATTAAAGCAGATTCTTCGAAGGCAGTCAAGTAATGATATTGAAAGCTTCAGGGGGAAAAAATGATGGTATAAAAAGAGCAAGGGCCACATGGGGGCAGCCATATCTGACCTTTACCAACTTCACAAAGGTGAACTGTCCTTGTCAGTAGTATTATTAACCCACAACCAATTCCTATGAGGTCAGATATGTCCCCTTCTCTCCCATACCTCTTTCTGTTCATCTCAACACCAGTCTTACTGGTTTGCTTACTCCAAAATCTGATACAGTAGCACACAGACCACACAAAACCATATTAGGGAAGTCAAAAGGTTATAATCCGGGTTAATAATAGAATATAGTCAAGACAACTCCCTAAATGTGTGTGCAGGCACCTCAGCCTCAAGCCTTGCATCTTGGTGCTCTCAAGTCTCAGTCCTGCCAATATTGGCTTTCCAACCCCAGTTGTTCAACAAGGTTTTCAGACCTGCCAGTATTGGCTTTCCCCCATAAAGTCCCATCTCACATCAGGTGCCATTTCAGCTATAGCTGCTCTTTTCTTGGTGGTGAGATTTCTTTACTGATGGTGGCAAGAGTTCTCTTTCCTCTTCACTGGTGAAGGAAGATCTTTCTCTGTAGCTAGAGCAGTTCAGTTTATTGGAGAGACTAACCGATCCTTTTGTAGATTATTGAGATGGGCCAATCTCCTGGTGGAATGGTAGATAGCCAATCCCCTTGTGGCTAAGCAAACACGCTCTATTTGCATATTCCCCCTACAGAGCAAAGTCAGATGGCTAGGAAAAGTCAAAGAAAGATAAACTCCACAGACGAGCACCTATTTTCTCAACAGTTGGCATAAATAACAGAGTTCTTCTGATCTTGCAAAGAGTTTGGATCCTGTTCTGGGTGTGCTGGTCTGTACTGTCATGGCACCTGATCTGAAGATACCTGAAAAGATGACTGTAGAAATGGGCCTAGGAGCTCATGTGATTATAGATTCTTATACTGACTAGTCTTGGATCCACCCATGGGCCAAAATCTAGAGAGTCAGTCGGAACTTTCTTATGGCTTAGAAGAGATGAGAGATGTTCTGTAAGTGCTTGAATTTTTCAAGAATCTAGTGATCAGATACAAGGTAGGTCATTCCAATATCCTCTAACTTTATATAAGAGGAAACAAATATTCTAGATAGTCACCTAGGACAATTTGCAGTTTAGAGGCTAACAGGAAGACAAATGGAACATGGCAAGCTCATATATCTACCTACTTTGTGGCACTTACACCATACTTATCTTCATATGGTGTAAGTACTTCTATGCAGGGAATGCTTGGAGAAGTTAGGTTTATCTTTGAGGTCCTGACATTTTTTATGATGAAGTGTATCTTTGCATTTTTTGTGGGGCCTGTAATTGAAAACTTTGTCTTTTAAAAAGTGACAATCTAAAATAATCCAGGAATCTTGTGGAATAGCTATAGCCCTTATTATTTTGATATTACTTATAACTTCTTGTGCCTTTTCATGGCTGTTCAGTATAATTAAAATGTAGCTTTTGTATGCCAACAAACATTCCTGTGTGTAAGCAACGCTGCATTGGAGAAGGTATGTTGTTGTTGTTTTGTACAATTGAGTCAGAACGGAACCACAGCTGACCCTCCAGCATCTTTTCACACGCAATAAATTGCACAGGAGGGGATTGCCATTTCTCCTGCAGAACAGCTGGTGGATTCGAACCACTTGCCTTTGGGTTTCAGCACAGCTTCATACCACTAGGCCACTAGAGGTCCCTAGCATTTCTATTTCTATTCAATATTTTAATGTTAACTTGACTGAGAAATTATTTTATTGAAGGTTAGCAAGTCTTTTTCATCTCTAATAATAAGTGCAGATCTTATCACAGAAATTGGTTTGTTACTTTCCTGGGTAAAGAAACTCTAAAGTTTCAGTAGTTTCAGTAGTTAATACACATTGGGTAAAGGAATATTTATATGGAGAGATTTAAAACAAATGGAGGCTTCTCTGATTTTAGGGGAGAAAGGGACTTTTTCCTCCTAAAGAAATTATATAGTGTTACAGGAGCCATGGCAAAGCATGTATAGCCAGTGTGTACCTGCCAGAATGGTTTAAAAGGAAGTCCTTGGTTCACTTTGCCCTGAATCATCAGTGTGAACTTGTGTCCACTCTAGGGGAGAGCAAAGAAGAAAGGACATTTAGGAACTGGATGAATTCCTTGGGAGTCAACCCGTACATTAATCATTTGTACAGGTAAGAATTTTTTCTTATTTCAGGATTAAATTTTCCGTATTTAAAACTAGATTTATATTTATATATGTTTACATGTTTAAATATACATGAAACCATTTTTAAATTCACAATGACTTTAGCTAATATTGAAGTTTCAGACTTCTTAAGGAACTGTCAATAAAATTAATTTCAAAACAAAATTATCTACAAAGAATAATATAACATCAGTTGTGTTTTTTATGATGATGGAAATAAACAATTACTTAAAAGTAATCCATCTTACAGGGACCAGATAGAGATGCCCATATTCAATATTGTGTTTGAAGTACTTGCTAGGGCAATACAACAGAAGAAAGAAATAAGAGACATCCAGATGGGCAAAGAAGTGGTAAAACTGTTGCTATATGCAGACTATATGATAGTGTACACAGGAAACTCCAAGGACTTGTCAAAAAACTGTTAGACCTAGTATACCAATTTGGTAGAGTGGCAGAATACAGGATCAATATACAAAAATCAATAGGATTCCTCTACAGTAACAAAGAAGACTCAGAGAAGGAAACTTACATGAACACAGTTAAGAATATGATACCATTTACAATAGCCAACCGCAAATTGAGAAACTTGGGAATAAGCCTAACTAGAGAGACAAAATACCTTTATAAAGAAAACTATAAAACACTCCTGCAAGAAACAATGAGACCTAAATAAATGGAAAAATAGTCCCTGTTCAAGGATAGGAAGACTCAATATAGTGAAAATGACAGTTGTGCCAAAAGCAATCCACCAGTGTAACACAGTCCCAGTACAGATGCCAAATTAATTTTTAAAAGTGATAGAAAAGGTATTTGGAAGTTATATGGAAAGGAAAGAGACACCAAATAAACAAAGCATTTCTGATAAACAAAAATGAAGTGGGAGGCATAGCATTCCTGATTTTGAAACCTACTATACAGCTGTAGTAACCAAAACAACATGGTACTGGTACAATGACAGATACATTAGACTGATGGGACAGAATTGAGGACCCAGAAATTAACCTATCCACCTACAGTCAAGTGGAATTCAACAAGGAAACAAAACCTGTCAAATGGGAAAACGACAACGTCTTCAACAAATGGCACCGGCAAAACTGAACTTCTCCTTTTTCTGCAGAAAGCTGAAGCAGGATCCACATCTCACACCATTCACCAAAATCAGCTCAAGGTAGATCACAGACCTAAGAGTAAAGCCCCAAACCAAAAAGGTCATAAGAGACAAAAGGGGATCACATTTAGAAGGCCTAACAAAGGGTCACTATGAGTCGTGCTCGACTTGATGGCATTCAGCAACAACATATGGTATAAATAGGCAAATATGGTCAGATAGGCGCGACCAGGAGATGATAGCATCGATCAGCAGAACCGTCTAAAGATGGGTGCATCAAAAACTATCCAATTGAGCAAAAGTAATACCTACTGACTGGGAAAAAATAATTTGACAATTTCATCTCAGACAAAGGTCTCAAAACCAAAGTTTACAGAATACTACAGGCCATCCACAAGAAAAAGACTGATAAAAAAAATTTAAAAAAAAAGACAGATGAAGAAATACTCAAAATCACTGGCAATAAGACAGATGCAAATCAAAATCACAATGAGATACCATCTCACCCCAGGAGTGGTGGCAAAGTTTAACAGGACAGCAAGATCGCTATTAATTTATTAAGTTAACTGAACTATTTAACTTAAATAAGAATCAGATTTTTTTTTCTGATTCATTTTAATATATCCTGGATATATGGTGAGGTTATTTTTTGGTTTTTTTTTAGACACTCCCAGGTTTAATGCTGTGGTTTTTACAACAGGTAAGGGTTGGAAGCCACCCAAAGGTTTATCAACAGAAAAATAGCTAAAAAACTATTGTATATTCACACAATGAAGTATTATCAATCATGAAAAAATTACCAAGAATTTGTGAAATACTGCATAGCATACTAGAACAAAATGTGCTGAGTGACATAAACCAGCCACAAAAAACCAACACAGTTATGGTACATTCACTCCGATTCCTGACACTCCTCTGCCTGCTTTTGTTCAAGGTGAAGGAAAACCCCCTGTTCTGCCCTGAATGGCTACTTACAAGCTTTCCCCCCTCCCCCAGCATATTCTTTCCATTTCTTTTTCCCCATTCATTTATTGTTACACATTTTCCTCCCTGCCCACCCTTCCCTCCCCCGTCAGTAATTTTTCTCTTTGAAGAAAAAAAAATTCTTTCATTGTTATACAATCCCCTCCAGTCCACACTCCACTTAAATATGCATTTCTTTCTCTGTAGTCTTGTCATGATAATAATACCTAATTCTATACCCCTTTTAAACAGTTCTCTCCTTCATTTGTTTCAATACAGTATATATTATTTATCCCCTCTTTTCTTAGGTTCCCCCCAACCCCAATGTCAGTCCCATTTTATAACAGTGGCACTATACAGTATTTGTGCTTTTGTGACTGAGATATTTCACTCAGCATAATGTCCTCCAGGGTCAACCATTTTGTATAATATTTCATGAGTTCTTTGTTTTTCAAAGCAGCATAGTATTCCATTTTGTGACTATACCACAGCTTCTCTATCTATTCATTTGTTGATGGGCACCTAGGTTGCTTCCAACTTTCTGCCATTGTGAACAAAGCTGCAATAGACATAGGTGTGCATTTATCTACTTTGGTGGCAGTTCTGCTTTCTTTAGGGTATATCCCCAGTAGTGGAATTGCAGGGTGAAATGGTATCTCTATTTGCAACTTTTTGAGAAAGTGCCATGCTGCCTTCCATAGTGGTTGCATCATTTTACACTCCCATCAACAGTGAATAAGGATTCCAGTTTCTCCACAACCTTGCCAGCATTTGTTGCTTGCTGCTATGTTAAATTTTGCTATTCTTACTGGGGTAAGATGATATCTCATAGTTGTTTTGATCTCTTAGAACTAGGGATTTTGAACATTTCTTCATGTGTTTGTTCAGCATCTGAATGTCTTCTTTGGTGAAGTGTCTGTTCATATCCTGTGCCCATTTTTCAATTGTGTTATTCATCTTTATTTTGTGGTGAGAATCAGATATTTTTAGGGGAAAATCTAATTAAATCTATTAGTAATTTATATTTCAGTGAAACTTTTTGGTGAGAAGTTAGTTATTATTCAAATGTGGACTAAAAACAAATATTGTGAAAGTTTAATGATGTAGCAATTTCTCTGTCTTTGTATACTCAAAATATTCTTTAAAACTTAAAACCAGAAGGGCTCTCTGGTGGCCTAGTGGCAAGAAGCTGCAATCCCAGAGGTGGTGGTGGTCTTGTTGTTAAGTACTGTTGAGTCGTAGGCAACTCATAGTGACCCTGTGAACAAAAGTCCTCAACAGTTGGGTGACTTTCATCCTTTCTCCAGATTCATAGGGTTTCCAGAGGCAAGCTATTATGGAAGTGGATGCCACTTCTGCTTCCAGGCTTGTTTTAATCGGGAAGCTCCACCAAACACTGTCCACCATGGGTAACCATTATCGAGTCTGACACATCAGTGTCACAGTGTTCAGCCTGCTGGAGAAGGAGGGGCAATCGCCTCCTATACCAGTCAGATCTGATTTGATGGTACACACACACACACACACACACACACACACACAACCAACCCCAAAAAACAACAAAATCCCAAACAACAAAACCACCTTAAAATGAGAATTGCCTTATCACAGTAACTGACTTTGATGTGCTGAACCCATTCTTGAAACACTCAGAGTGTCTGTAACTTCAGTAGATTAGGAAAAATATCATTAAGCTGGGTATTCCCATTATAGTAGTTGCACAGTTAAAAACTAAGCAACTGGAGGGGAGATCTTTATAGATGAAAAGATTCTGTAAAAAATAAAGAAAGAATGTCTACATTATGTTGTTGATAGAAAACAATAGGAGTTGGTATGATGTGGAAAAATTGAGTTAAAATTGTACGTAATTGTATGTGAATATACAAAAATAAATCTAGAGGGATGCTGTCTTTATAGAACAGAAATTTGTTTTCTTGCTATTCTGGAGCCTAACAAATGAGAGTCTTACCATTATCGATTCCTTCAGTGAACGCTTTCCTAGGTTCATGTGACCATCAGGAGTCCTTGGTGTTCATTTGCTTAGTCTCTTCTCTGTTTGTGTCTGTTTCTCTTCTGCTTCATTAAGTAAGACACCACTGAAAAGTGATTAGCTTTAGCATGCCCTCATTAACATAACAAAGAACCTTCCCACTTCCTTAACAAAGTTACATGCATAGTGCAGGGATAACTTTTTTGGGACATCAAATGTTTTTATGCCCCTGTCGGAGGGGGAGAGGAAGGTAGTGAGATGAGGATGGGTGATCTCCTGTGATTATTGCCTCTGAAAACCTACTAGAGGGTCTGCTGTGGATTGGTTCCCACTCGTTGGCACATAGCAACAACAACAACTTAAATATAATTTGAATATTTTTCAATGTGCTTGTTCTTCTTTCTCTATTAAAAAACTCCTCATTGGTGATTGATTTTATAAAACACTATGTTTGGAAGGCAGAGTAAAATATTACAATGAAATGTGCAAGGAGCTGAAGTCAGAAAATCAAAAGGGCCAAACTCGCTCAGTATTTCTTAAGCTGAAGGAACTGAAGAACAAGTTCAAACCTCAAGTTGTAATACTTAAGGATGCTTTGGGCAGAATATTAAATGATCCAGGAAACATTAAAAGCAGACGGAAAGAGTGCACAGAGTCATTGTACCAGAAGGAATTGGTGGACACAAGAATTTCATGAAACAGTGTATGAGCAAGAGCCTGTGGTGATGAAGGAAGAAGTACAAGCTGCTCTGAAAGAATTGGCAAAAAACAAGGCCCCAGGAATTGACAGCACACCAATTGACATATTAAAACAAGCAGATGCTGCCCTGGATGTGCTCACTAAGTTGTGCCAAGAAATTTGGAGGACAACCACCTGGCCAACTGACTGGAAGAGATCTAAATTTGTTCCCATTCCAAAGAA